GGGCTGGGGGGGGGGCTCTGCAGCTTACCTGGCTGCTTCTTGCTCTGACTGAGGGCTCCTGGGAGCAGGGGGTGGGGCTTGTTGCATGTGCCCGCCCCCTGGGCTTTTTACTGCCGGAGCACCGCTCCTGTGCGCTCCTGCAGGAAATGACCCCTGTTGGTCTTAAAGGTGCCACTGGACTGTTTTGGACTGAGGGGCTGGGGGGGGGGCTCTGCAGCTTACCTGGCTGCTTCTTGCTCTGACTGAGGGCTCCTGGGAGCAGGGGGTGGGGCTTGTTGCATGTGCCCGCCCCCTGGGCTTTTTACTGCCGGAGCACCGCTCCTGTGCGCTCCTGCAGGAAATGACCCCTGTTGGTCTTAAAGGTGCCACTGGACTCAAACTTTGTTCTATTGCCACACATTTTGTGAGTCTTAAAGGTGCTCCTGGACTCCTGCACTTTTCCACTGCTTTTTGTTGTTCAGTCACACATCCTGATCTGTCCCCCTGGGAACTGTGCAGGATTTGGTGGTCTTTCTGTGGTTCTTCATTTTCTCTCTCTTTTTCCCTCTCCTTGCCTCGTCCAGACCAAAGATGCTGGAATCCGGGCCTTGGTCATGTTGGACGAACAGGGAGGTAAGTGCTGGGGTCGGGACGATGGCACCGTGAGAAGAACTGGCCGCCTTTTCTGTTCGCATTTCCAACCACGAACACAGCTGACAGTTCCCGCTCTCGAGTTGGATGAATACCTGTTTGCTACCTGCTCAGAAATGCATATTATTATAGCATCGGCTGGGTCTGTGCACACAGGGATGAGGAGCTACAGTGGACTACGGTGCTTCAGAAGGAGGGTGGAAGGTACCAATTTTTTCAACACCTCCCCGCAAACAGAAAACTAGGGCATCAGGGTGAGAATTTCTTGGCCAGCCCCTTTTTGTTTGCCGCATCCGAGGAAGCCTTCCAAACTACAGACCCTCCAAACGGGGGTCGGAAGGGGCTACACTCTGTTCTTCCCTCCTCCTACCTTCATTCTGCTACCGTGTGCAGATCCATATCATTCTTATCCTGCCTTTCCTCCAGAGAGCCCTGGACAGTGCTACAAGGTTTCCCCTACCCCGTGTTATACTCACAACAACCCTGTGAGGTGGGTTAGGCTGAGAATGACTGGCCATTCTAGCAAATTTCATGGCAAAGTACGAATTTGAACCCAGGTCCTGTTCTGAGCTTCTAATCATCGCACCATGCTGAATCTCCCTCCCTCCCTCCCTTCCTTCCACTTCTCTCTCTCTCTCTCTCCCTTCCTTCCTTCCTTCCTTCCTTCCTCCTCCTCCTCCTCCTCCTCCTCCTCCTCCTTCTCCTTCTTCTTCTTCTTCTTCTTCTTCTTCTTCTTCTTCTTCTTCTTCTTCTTCTTCTTCTTCTTCTTCTTCTTCTTCTTCTCTCTCTCCCTTCCTTCCCCTTTTTTCTCTCTCTCTTCCTTCCTTCCTCTTTTCTCTCTCTCTCTCTCTTCCTTCCTCTTTTCTCTCTCTCTTTCTCTTCCTTCCTTCCTCTTCTGTCTCTCTCTTCCTTCCTTCCTCTTCTCGTTCTCTCAACATCTTCCTTCCTTCCTCTTCTGTCTCTCTCTTCCTTCCTCTTCTCTCTCTCTCTCTCTTCCTTCCTCTTTTTTTTCTCTCTCTCTCCCTTCCTTCCGCTTTTCTCTCTCTCTTCCTTCTTCTCTCTCTTTCTCTTCCTCCCTCCGTCCCTTCCTCTTCTCTCTCTTCTTTCCTTCTTCTCTCTCTCTCCCTCCCTTCCTCTTCTCTCTCTCTTATTTCCTTCCTTCTCCTTCCTTCCTTTCGTTCTTTTCATTTCGTCCATTGCTTTCCTGCCCAGAACAACTGGACCGGATTGAGGAAGGCTTGGACCAAATCCATGAAGATATGAAGCAAGCAGAGAAAAATCTTTCGGACATGGCCAAATGCTGCGGGCTTTTCGTCTGTCCCTGTGCTAAGTAAGTTCTGGCGGCTCAGATCGAAAGGTTCCACAGAACCCAGGCTAGGCCGTATTTGTCACTCAGTGGTAGGGTGCTCTTGCACATGGAGGTTTTACTCCATATATGTTTATAAAATTAAGCATGGTGTGGAAAGAGTTGACAAAGAGAAATTTTTTCTCCCTCTCCCCAAATACTGGAACTCAAAGGCATTTACACAGCGAGTGATTAAAATGTGGAATTCGCTGCCAGAGGATGTCATGAGGGCCACAGGAATAAACAGCTTTAAAAGGCCATTAGATTGATTCATGGCAGAGAGGGTTCTATCAGGGGCTGCTAGCCATGGTGGCTGAGGGGAACCTCCATATTCAGAGGCAGTCAACCTCTGAATCTCAGTGCCTCTCTGCCCTGTTGTTGGCCCTCCAGAGGGACTGGCTGGCCCCTGTGTGAGACAGGAGGCTGGACTAGATGGATCCTCACTGGTCTGACCCAGCAGGGCTCTTCTGATGTTCTTATCAGGGGAAGGCCTCGGACTCTCTGCCCTGTTGTTGGCCCTCCAGGGGAACTGGTTGGCCACTGTGTGAGACAGGATGCTGGACTGGATGGACCCTCACTGGTCTGACCCAGCAGGGCTCTTCTGAGGTTCTTCTCAGGGGAAGGCCTTGGCCTCTCTGCCCTGTTGGTGGCCCTCCAGAGGAACTGGCTGGCCCCTGTGTGAGATAGGATGCTGGACTAGGTGGATCCTCACTGGTCTGACCCAGCAGGGCTCTTCTGATGTTCCTCTCAGGGGAAGGCCTCGGCCTCTCTGCCCTGTTGATGGCCCTTTAGAGGAACTGGCTGGCCCCTGTGTGAGGCAGGATGCTGGACTGGATGGACCCTCCCTGGTCTGATCCAGCAGGGCTCTCCTGATGTCCTTCTGTCATTCGCAGTTGTCGAATAACAGACCTATCGTGTATGGATTTGTCCTGCCTCTGCAGAAAAGCACTCCTTTTTTTTTTTTGTAAAGTTTATTTATATTTTTTCCGTTACAAAAAAAAATGTAAATTTTCCTTATACATAACATTTTTTGGAGTGTACATTATACATTTTTTCCCCATCCATATATTTACTTTAAACCACCTTTTCTTAAAAACGTTATCATCTCTCCCTGCTAATATCAGATTTAATCTGTCCATTTCCGCTATTTCTAGGATTTTTTCCATTAATTCTTCTCTTCTTGGTATTACATCCGATTTCCACTTTTTAGCTATGAGGATTCTGCTTACTGCGAGAATATATAGAATGATACATACATCTTCTCTATTTATTCTATCTGGAATCATGTTAAGCAGATAACTTTCTGGGATAAGTTGGAGTTCTATACCTGTAATCTCTTTTATCAGTTCTTCGACCTTTTTCCAAAACTTGACTATTTTTTCACACCTCCACCAGACATGGTAAAAAGTTCCTAAGTTATTTTTGCCTCTCCAGCATGTTTCTGAGACATTCTTATAACATTTGGCTAGTTTATCTGGTGTCCAAAAATATATATATATGTGAAAATGCAGAAAAGCACTCCTTAATAGTTACGCCCCCACCCCGATCCTTTCAAAATGGCATCTTTCTCTAACGCATTAAATTCCTGACCGGGTTGGCTTTTAAAACAAACACAAACAACAACCCCTAGGTTGAAGGACCTCAAAGCCCTGGAGGCTTATAAGAAGGTGTCCGGCAACAGCCAGGACGACGTGGTCTCCCAGCAGCCTTGCATGGTGGCCGACGGGAATCAGATGGTCATGAGCGGCCCCTTCATCCACAGGTAAGAAGCGGCTGCTGCGGTCAGGGGAGCGGAACGGCGGGATTCTTTCTCTGGCCTTGCATGGATGGGGGGTTAGGGGGTTAGGAAGGGAGAGCAAGAAACCACGCCGATGCTTCATTTATTTTATGCAAGTGCTTGTTTATGTAGACTCATAGAATCACACAGAGCTGGAAGGGGTCCCACGGGCCATCTAGTCCAACCCTCGGCTCAATGCAGGATCAGCCTAGAGCAGGGGTGTCAAACATGCGGCCCGGGGGGCAGATCAGGCCCCCCCCGGGAGGGCTCCCATCAGGCCCGCCGTGGAACTGGCTGTCTTCTTCTTCTTCTTCTTCTTCTTCTTCTTCTTCTTCTTCTTCTTCTTCTTCTTCTTCTTCTTCTTCTTCTTCTTCTTCTTCTTCTTCCAGTTCTGCTGCTGCTGCGTCATCGCAGGTCTGCAGCTTATAGATACACACCTGAACTGCATACTCAGGATTGCAACCGCACAGACGTTTTTGATGCAATAATTGAGAGCGAGAGGTGTCAGTTATCAGACACTGTTAAACAAACAAAATATCGCAAGAGTGCTGATGTTTTAAGCGTGTTTTTATTTTAAGTTTTTTTTAAAAAACACACCTTTGTGTTTGTGTCCTTTATGAAGTTTATACCTCCGCTACCTGGCATTGTTAGTACGCCATCTGAATCATTCAATGATTACCATCAAAGAGTACCATCACTAGCACTTTAATTGTTAATTGTTGGACTCCACAGTTTAGTTGATCCTCAAAAAAACAGGATCATGAAACTGCGGGGGAAATCGGGCGAAGCCGCGGGTCAAAATCTTTCATTTATACCCCGCCCTCCCCGCACGCGGGCTCAGGGCGGCTTACAATATATAGGTGCAGTACACCATATACCAAAAACAAGGCACAGCAGTGCGATAAAATACAATTAAAACAATTTAAAACAGTTAAATACAGTGGGCAATGCCCAGGATCCAACGCGACTGACCACTCGCTCCTATTGCACATCCCATTTAAATCCGACCAGGAGGGTGTTATGGCCCCGATGTTCAATGGCCGATCAGCCTAATCCAGCGGACTGCTTTGCCAGCCCCAGTTGGTGGTAGTGGTGGCTACGCCGTGCTGTCTTTTGCTCCTCCTCCGGCTTTCTCCTCCACCCCTTTCCTTCCCTAGGCCCAGCGTGCCTCCCACTTGGGCCCCCCTCTGACTTTATTTTGATTGATTTCACCTACTCCATTTATACCCCACTATTCTCTTCAGTAGGGACCCGAAGAGCCTTGCAACAGTCTCCTTGCAACAACAGCCCTGTGAGGCAGGTTAGGCCGAATGTACGCGCCTGGCCCGAATTCACCCATCGAGCTTCCCTGGCACGAAGTGGGGATTCGAACCCGGGTCCTACTCTGACATTCAGACCGCCATGCCACGCTTGGCCCTCCATTGCCGAGAGCTCAGCCGTTGACTCCTTAGCATAAAATCCCTTTGTCAGTGCCAATTGTGTTCTTTCTTCTCCCTCCCCCCTCCCTTCCTCCCCCCCCTTTTAAAAAGGGAATTCTAGTCCTGAGGAAGGAACCTCTTGGCCCCTTATCCTCGAATTTTTTAATTTGTAGTTCTTCAAAATATTTATAAGCCTCCTTCCTACCTTACGGAGCTCAAGGCAGCTTCCCACGTCAATAAAATACATAAAATGGATTACCTAAAACTGAAATTTAAAATCACCAGTTTAGGACGGCTTTAATCAAATGCAGTCCTAAATAAAACCGTCTTCAGCTGCCTCCTAAAGATCGAAAGTGAGGCGGCCAGGCACACGTCCCTGGGAAGATTCTTCCATAATTGCGGGGCAGCCACCAAAAAGGCCCTGTCCTGCACATACCCCCTTCCCAAAGGAGCTTCTTTGATTGCTGGGACAGTCCAGAGCAATGCTCCCTCTAAGCTGTGGAGTCCGGTGAGCAGAAATTCTATTTTGTGAGCGACTGGCATTAAAGTTGTGAGCGAGTGATTTGGCTCCTGCATAAATCAGTTTGCTCTGGAGCCCTCCTTCCTGAACTAAGGCAAAAATGTGTGATCTGGGCAGGGGTCATTTCCTGCCGGAGCGCACAGGAGCGGAGCTCCGGCAGTAAAGAGCCCAGGGGGTGGGCACATCAATGAGCCCCACCCCCTGCTCCCAGCAGCCTTCAGTCAGAGCAAGAAGCAGCC